ATTCATGACATGAGAATAGTTCAAACTCAGGTCTCGAAAAACCGTCCTGTGAGCGTTAATGGGTTAAATGCGGTTATTAAGGGGTTCATAGCATAGTTCTTATTAATGCGGTTATTAGGAGGTTATTAGGGGTTGATGGCACTGCCATTGCATTATTGGAGGTTGATAGGATTGTCATTGGGTTATTAGGACGTTTATAGAATAGTTTATATTAGGGGGGGAGGGGGTTATTAGAGGGTTATTAGGGGGTTGCTAACATTGCCATAAAAATATTAGGGGGTTGCTAACATTGCCATAAAAATATTAGGGGGTTATTGGTCAGATAAACCTCAAATTCGGGTTCATTCAATGCAATTTTTTGGATTTTACCGTGACCTAACCTTGACTCTGAGCCGACCAGGTCAAACGCAGTCCAGATTCGAATTCAGCGACCTCAAAAACCTATAGAAACAGTACCTGGACCAAGATTAATGGGATAATCTTGATTTGACCTTGATCTGAATTTGACCTCTGAGCTAATCGGGTCAAATGAATCGTGGATTCAGATTCAGCGACCCCAAAAACATAAATGTAATGGTATTACCTTTTGCACGTTTGTTCACATATGACTTTTTCGTGAGGCTGTCATATTTGTATTGTTGGTACTGTTGTTATGAAATCGCTAAAGTGGTGAAATTCATTCGATGATATCTCCGCGAAAAAAAAAGATTTGTTAAATTTAAAAAATGCGTTCGAAAGGGCAGAAGCAATACTTTCAGATGGTCAGATTAGTTTTCAAAAAAAAAATGTTTTGCGGTGTAATATAGCTTCTAAAACAGCATAAATACGTGTTTTTCGCGATTTTAGGTTAGAATATCTCGAAAATGTGACGTGATAAAGCATTTTTGATGTCAGGTTCGTGTTCAGCGCATCAAAAACCTTCGGAATATGTTGCTCATGTTTGTGCGATATAAATCATGTTGACCTGTGTAGTCTGCAACTGTTAAAGCATTCGGTTCTATAATGCTCAATACCACCGCGTTGATGGTAGCTTCTTTGAAAATCTTGGTTGTTTCGGTTGCTGCGATTGTGCACGGTTATTTATGCGTATTAAGGCTACGGCCTGCATTTTCCAATTTTTCCCTCATCATCAGTTTTCTTGTCTGGCTGGCTTCTCTTTCACTCAAATCGATGAATCCATGGTTAACAGTTGTGGCGTCATGATTTTACAAATATTAAAAGTAAATGTTTGACCTCGTCTCCTATCTCGCCGATATACAACAACGACAGATCGAGTCTTGCTTCGTGTTAACTCACAACACGATTGTTAATGATACTTGTTTTATATTTTGGATTACAAGTAGCAATTGGTATCAAATCTTCTCTGATGTCATAAATTCATCCAGAACTGATCTCAGAACTCACCAGAGAGCGACTACTTATGGATCATCTTGAGCGCTCTGAGCAAGGGTATAAAGGTCAGTGCTCATTCAGGCCATTAACTCGCCCAGCTCAACCAGCTTCAGACCTCTCTGAAGCCTTCCAGCCACCTATTAAGGAAAGAAGCTTATCTTTCACTACCAGTGCCTGTTGCCAAATTAAGAGATATTTCAGAGGCTTTTCCAGTGGCTTTTCCAAAAGCTTTTCTAGAGGCTTCTCCAGCGGCATTCCTTCTATCAGGGATAGAGGCTTACCTTCAACTACCAGTGTCTGCTGCCAAACTAAGACTTTTCAAACGTCTTTCCAGAGGCTTTTCCAGAGGCCTTTCCAGAGGCTTTTCCTGAGGATTTTCCGAGAAGATCGCTTGTGACTACCAGGACCTGCTATCAAGACAAGATGTGTCCTCTTCTGAGACTTTTCCAGTGCATTTTCCAAAGGTTTTTCCAGTGAAAGAACAAAGTAATCAGTCGAAGTATTCTCAATTCTGTTTTTAAGTCAACATCTTCTTAACTCAACTATTCAGGATCAGTTTTTTTCTTTTATTTTCACCAAAATAAAATCTGATAATAATAAAGTTATATCGACAGTCTTGATAGTGAACAGCGCGCTATTATTGAATATTAGTAGCGGGTGCCAGTAAAGATGAACTTAGACAAAAAATACGGCGCTGTCAATGATGACACTAAATTGTTCGCCGTGGTTGCCATCAGCTCCTTGTTGGAACTCAATGAATCGTGACTGTCAATATCTTTCAATAGCTGTCGCTTCTTAGCCTCAACCTTCTTCTTTCCACGGCCCAACATGTTCTTTATTGAGGCTATGGACATGTTTACCGAGGTTGTCATATTTTTCGATGTTGTCCCCTGGTATGTGGCGTTCTGGTATTATAGGACGACATCTGTAGTCTCGCTCACAGCGACACTTGAATTTATTGCCGTAATACCGCAAGTCACGCAGGTCTTAAAAAGTCTTGCTGTCTAAGTAATCCCGATACGAAAATGCAACCAAGTATTAACATTTTAAGCTGTACCGTTGCCTATGGCTGCGGGCGCATTCGGGGATAACGTACTAGAATACGATGTAGTCCACTGTCTGGATACGTTGGCGTAGCTCATTTTATAAATCTTGGCCATCCAATTTGCAACAGAGTTATTACCGAAAATCTATGAAATCATCCCAATCACTCTCTTCCGCACCTCAAACGTTTCCTCAGGCTTCAACTGCGCTTAGCCATATGTTGTTTAGATCGAACTGTACCGTGGCTCGATTTGGAAGCGTTCCCTCGCTCTTGACGTTTTTAGCTTTGTATCCTTCGATTCGGTAAGTGGCAGATACCAGTGTTCAATTGCGTGTCCGCTCACGCTCACGCCCATCTCGAACTAGACGGCCATGACATTCGCGAAATCGTGATGTGTCAGCTCTAGATGTCTACCTAGTATCAATGACATCGCAGTATAGGATGGTCGAAAATCTGCGGTCGCATTGTGATACGGCGGCTCCTAATTCCGAACCGGACTCTTTTTTGGAGTGCACTTAGAAGAATTCGACGGCATTGCCAAACCAGAAATGAGGTCTCCCTCCATTGCGTTGATAATGGTATGCGAAAGCGAGGAAGAGAATCGCGCTCAATCAAACTCCTGATTCCTGAATCTAGCCTCAGTCTCGAAACGACCATACTGCGGGATCCAACCACGCTGCACTAATTCCCTGATGATCACCTGCAGGTGCACACGTAACGTAACTGTAGTCTACGCTCACATGCTCCTGTGCTGAGCCACACTTACTTTTCTATCTCTAATCTCACTGTCTCTTTATCTTTTTCCTCACGCGTCTTAGTCTGCATGGTCCGTCAAAATATACGCCGTTTCTCACCCCCGGCCTCGCCAATTAGCATCTCAAACAAATAAACCGGGCATGAGTGGTGCACTCAAGCACAAACATGCGTCCGGTCTGCCGAGGAAACGTACACAGGTAAGAGGCCATGGACGACAGAAAAATCGTTTGAAAAGCGGGTTTCCGCGTCATAATATATAAATACAGAAAAATTCATATATATAATAAAATTTTGTAAGAAACCGGTTGATGCATCCCTCCCTTCATTTGTAGTAGAACAAATAGGATAAAAGCATTTTTTTATCGCTCAATAAGTACACAAGTCAGTTAATATTGACAATTCATCTTATTTAAAGTTGAATGTTTATTTATAGATGGAAATGGTGAATATGACTTAAAAATTGTAGATATGAATCATCATCGTATTCTCATAATAAATTAATAATACTTTTCGTAGAAAATGATAAAATACAGAACTCTAAATAAACTTTAATGTATTAATTATCGCATACATATTTTCATCCTCGAATGTATATAGATTATTTTTTGGTAAGTTGAATTGAGCTACGAGTATTTAATAATAAACACTCAGGCGAGTTATTCATATACTATTAACAATATTATAGGTTTATATACTATTAACAATATTATATACTATTAACAATATTATAGGTTTTCTTTGAACAAAGCTCTTTAAAATTATCATTATTTTAACCCGTAAAGGGCCAATATGCTGTTCAAGAGTAAAAAAATTGAGAGGGACCTATTTTTAAAGACTTGTCTTTTCGGATGGTTAATACAGAGTTGATCTAAAAAATTATTAATTACATAAAACTTTAGGTTAAAAAAAGCACGATTTTTTTCGATCTCGTTTTTGAAAACGAGTTTTGAAAACGTTTCCTGGCCTATCAACGATCTAGAACATTTTCAATCAGTGAAATAAATCTGTACTTCAAGAAAATGTGGTTCAAAAATTAATTTTTCACTTTAGTCTTTACAAAATGGTTACCAGAATTACAAAATTTTCAAGAATACATTCATGAAATTTTTTGTCAGAAAATATGAACAAACCGAGGAAATGGTTAAGAAAAAAAGTACTAAAAATTAAAGGATAGGCCTGAATTTTTTGGAAACTCTTCAAGCAAATTTCTGATTGTACAAGTAGCACAATTTTTGCAAAATTAAAACTTGCACAAACATCTTGAAAAAATTAATTTCTATTCTTCATCTAATTTTAAGAACTTTTTATTATAAGTAATTTTGGCTATAAATTTATTGCTTTCAAGAAAAAAATTCTCAAAGATCAAAGAAATATCAGACGTGACTATAAGTTAATTTTATAATTATAATGACACGTGGCCTTAGAGCTTTCAAGATCATCACTGTAATAATATGCTGCAGATACGGAGAGCTAGAAAATATGGTGGCAGATTATGAAAAGCCATACGGGTATAAAATCTATATAGATACATAGACGTTGTAAAAAATAAAATTTTTTCCGACGAAATATTCGAAGAAAACATTCATTTGAAAATTTGAATTTTCGTTGACTATGTATAAGTTTTAAAACCGACCACACAATGGAATTGATATGTATGCACACATGTATTTACTTATATGGAGCTATTATGTCTATTTATATGCCATTCATGGTTGTTACTAAAGCATCCATAGGGCAATTTTCCTTCAATAGTTCTCCAAGTTATAAATGTAGCATTAATGAATAATATTCATTTAAATGTACTAACCAAATCAGCTCCAAACTGTAACAAAATGTCTACTACATCGGTATGTCCATTTTCGCAAGCATATGTTAACGCAGTATCACTAGTCTGTGTTTGTGCTTGTACATTAGCATTTGATTCTAAAAGGTAACGCACAAGATCTAAATGACCTTCCTGAGCAGCTTCCATCAAAGGTGTTGAAGCTCCTAATTCGATATCAGCACCAGCTTTAATAAGAAAATCTGCTACTTCGATAAATCCTCCACAGCAAGCCAAAGTGAGTGCCGTTTCTTGAGTTTCTTCGGTCTGTGCATTGATATTTGCTCCTATAAATTTAAACATTAATTTCAGTTAAAAATAATATTTTTAACAAGAAAAGTTGTATAAAAATATAATTAAGGGTAATTTTAAAAGAAATTAAAGGTCCAGACCCAAAATAAAATTATTAGATGAAATTCGTTGTATCTAATTGTAAGATACGATACACAGATCAACACGGATTTATCGCAAGAGTAATAACAAAGTATCCCGAAGGTTTTTGATGCGCTGAATCCGGATCTAGCCTAAGAATTTCTCTATCACGTCAACCTTTTGAGATATCCTAACCTAAAAGTGAAAAAAACACTGTTTTTCATTATATTTGTGCTTATATTACATCGTAGATTATTTTTTTTCTTAAAAACAGGTTCTGCCTTTTGAAAGTATCACGATTATCCTTCAAAACCCTTTTTTAATTTTTCAAAAATCTTTTTCTCCTTCAGAGATATCGTTAATTAAAGCTTAGTCTTTTTTGATTTTGTAATAATGAATCAGATTTTTCCAGAAAGCAGATAACGTAAACTATTACGTTGTTTGGGTGGTTTAATATATTTTTTTTAATTTCCTAACGTACAATTGTCTAAAATGCTATCTTGTGACGAGAGCAAGCGTTGCGCTTGTTCATTAAGTGGACGACAAAGATAGGTGTTAGAAAGAGAGAGAGAGAGAGGAGCGTGCGTGCCCCACGCAGGATTAGGCAAGCGCGCGATGCGTAACCAATTAGCGCATTGGTCGCGCGCCGCCTAATAAGTAGATCAAGTGGGGAGAAAAAAAGGGAGCGAAGAAGCGGTCGATTGTGAAAGCGAACGAGCGGGTAGACGGTTCTAAGTCGGTCAGCGATGCAGTCAGTGCAGAGTGCAGAGGTCAGCCGAACGCGCACAAACCACCCTAGGAGCTGAGACGAGAAACTAAGCGAGACAAAAAGGACAAGTGCCATTCCACCAGCATCTGGCAAGGGATACTTTATAAACACTAGCATAAGTACAAATACGAGGTGTGTTCAAAAAATAACGAGAATTTTCGTTTTATGAAAAAAATATTTATTTATTCATCTACATTAATGTTGTCGCCTTCAAAGTAGTCCCCTTCGGATACAATACACTTATGCCAACGCTTTTTCCAACCCTCGAAACACTTTTAAAACTCGATCTTTGTAATAGCTTTTAGCTCTTTCAGCGATTCGCTTTTAATGTCATCTATGCTTGTAAAACGACGGCCTTTTAATGTTCTCTTTATTTTTGGAAATAGACAAAAGTCACATGGAGCCATATCTGGCGAATATGGAGGCTGAGGCATCGTTACAGTTTCGTTTTTGGCCAAAAATTCACGAACAAGCAATGAAGTGTGAGCAGGCGCATTATCGTGGTGCAAAAGCCATGAATTGTTTTGCCACAAATCCGGGCGTTTTTTTCGGATTGCTTCACGCAAACGACGTTGAACTTGTAGGTAGTACTGCTTATTGATTGTTTGACCTTGTGGCAAGAAATCATAATGCACTATGCCATTAAAATCGAAGAACACAGTGAGCATAACCTTCACATTCGACCGTACTTGTCGAGCCTTTTTCGGTCTTGGCGATCCAGAATGCCTCCACTGGGACGATTGAGCCTTAGTTTCGACATCATATCCGTAAACCCATGTTTCGTCACCTGTTATAACACGTTTTAGTAGTTCTGCATCGTTATTGACTTCATTTAGCGACTCCTGAGCAACTTCCATTCGCCGCTGTTTTTGTTCGAAATTCAACAATTTTGGAACGAATTTTGCTGCCACACGTTTCATACCCAAAACATTCGAAAAAATTTGATGGCATGAGCTAACTGATATGCCAACATCATCAGCGACTTCTCTGATTGTGATTCGGCGATCGTTCATAACCATTTCTTTCACTTTTTTCACGTTTTCATCGGTTGTTGATGTGCTTGGGCGTCCGGGTCGTTCGTCATCTTCAACGTTTTCGTGGTCATCTTGGAAACGCTTATACCACTCATAAATCCTTGCTTTACTCATAGCAGACTCACTATATGCCTTTGTTAACATTTGACAAACTTTACTACACTTTATTTCATTTTTTACGCAAAATTTAATACAAATTCTTTGATCCATTTTTTTTCACAAACGAAAATCGCCGAGCTCGAAAAACACGTCTAACGTTAGCGGCTGCCACTTAAAAAGTAAGCAATGAATATTGCTGAAAATTTTATCGTACTTCAGGGGCATGTGTACCAACATAATAAAAAAAAATTTTATACAAGCGGACTCTCCAAACCCGCGAAATTTAAAAATTCTCGTTACTTTTTGAACACACCTCGTATATGCGTTGTAGCCTATGAGAGCTAAATCCACGACAAATTAATCTAACTATGCTGTAGCCTGCAAGGGCTAAGTCCATTGTGTTTTCAGGTGTCTTATTTTGTCTTGTCATTAACCTTCGGGTTTGTTAAACCTTTACTGCTTCTCATTTAAACTTGTTATTCCTGAATTTCTCTTGTGTTTTACTCCATCATCATCACGTTTCAAATTTCGACAGTAATCAGCAAGCATATTATATATATTATACGAGGATGGTCCGATAAGTACTTAGCCTACAAAAGAAAAACAAAAATTTTGGAAAAGTGGCGTTTTATTTTTCAACATAGTCTCCTTTTAGTTCCATACACCTGGCCCAGCGATGCTCCAACTTCTTTAACCCGTCTGAAAAATACGTTTCCTCGAGGTCTGAAAAGTAGGCATCTGTGGCAGCGATTACCTCCTCATTCGATTCAAATTTCTGCAAGGCGAGTGACTATTTCAAGTTTGGGAACAAAAAGAAGTCGCACGGGGCTAAATCTGGAGAATACGGTGGATGGGGCAGCAGTTCGTAGCCTAATTCGACCAATTTGGCCATGGCGACGGCAGAGGTGTGAGCCGGTGCGTTGTCATGGTGGAAGAGCACTTTTTTCTTCGCCAAATGGGGCCGTTTTTTCTGCAATTCGACGTCGAATCGGCCCAATAATTCGGCATAGTATAGCCCTGTGACCGTTTTGCCCCTCTCCAGGTAGTCAATGTAGATCACACCTTGTGAATCCCAGAAAGAGGTGGCCTTTACCTTTCCGGCCGATGGGGCAGTTTTCGCCTCCTTCGGAGCACTTTCGCCGGGTAAAGTTCACTGTTTCGACTGTTCCTTGGTCTCTGGTGTATACCAGTGGATTCATGTTTCGTCGACTGTCACGAAACGACGCAAAAACTCCTTCGCATTGCGCTTAAACAGCGTCAGACATTGTTCTGAAGTTGTCTCACGGTTGCGCTTGTTGTCCGGAGTGAGCAAACGCGGCACCCATCGCGCCGACAGCTTTCTCCTGCTCAAAATTTCATGCAGGACATGACCCACGCGGTCTTTGGAGATGCCTACGATCTTAGCTATCTCGCGCACCTTCAATCGTCGATCTGCCGATACGAGATCGTGAATTTTTGTCACGTTATCCTCCGTGGTATCCGTTTTCGGAGCACCTGGACATGGCTCTTCAAAAATCGACGTGCGACCACGTTGAAACTCGTTAAACCAATTTTTGACGGTCGCCATAGAAGGAGAAGTAGTTACCGTACACAGCATCCAAGCGCTTTTTGATTTCGCTGTGCGATTTCCCTTCCAAAAACAAGAATCGAATCACCGACTGATACTGCTCTTTTTCCATTTTTCAAAAATCAACGGACACACTTGCTTTCACACGCTCTCAAAAATAAACTACAACTCCGATCCGGCTAAAATCTTGACAGTAACCATCGAGAAGGTTGTACTACGTGATAGAATATTTCTTTTGCGAGAGTGGCGCCATCGGGCGGTGAGGCTAAGTACTTATCGGACCACCCTCGTATATACATTCCATCGACCTTAATACCTCCTTTTCATTTCCTGGATGTCTTGGTGAAAACTTTCTTCTTACTTTTCGCAGAGATCACAAGATTTGCAGAAAAAGAATCTAAATGAAAGTTTAAAAAGTATATCTTTAAACTCACGTTACAACTTATTTTTTTAAAATCGGTAATATTCAAAAATCATTTAAAGGATTTTTCATTCTGATCTAGTGTTTTCACGAATTGGTTTATCAATCCTAATTTTATGTGAAAGGGACGTTAACATATCCTTTTCAGATCACAGAATGATTTTTTGAGAACATCGAATGATTTTAGGTCACGAGATTTGCGTAATGACCAATGAGATTTTTCTCAACGATCTTCAGCAGCTTTACTATTCCACAAACAAATGTAACAAAGGAATTTTACGTACCCTGATTGCTGTACATAAAGTCTAGTTATCATCTTAAAATCACCATATATAAACTATTTATGTTCTTCGTTGTGATGTTAATATCACCTATTATTTATTATTTTGTTCGTACTCTCGTGGTCTGTCGCGTTAATGAGTAAGAATTCGTTTTAACTTTGAAAATATTTATGAATATTGAGTTTGAAATAAAATTATAAATGAAATATCTATGATTGTTTGAATTGGGCTTAAGGAAAGATAGACCTTACCCTACTTTCTTATGGTGCGAAGTGTCCCATAAGTAGAGCTTAAGTATCTCTTGTAAAAAAGGATATAATTCAGTCCAAGTTTTTCATAGCGCGTAATATTCTATGAGTCGAGCGTAAATTACAATAGTAAAGGAAAGAATTGCTTAGTTAATCACTTGAGAGAAAGAACTTAGGTATAAGCTAAGTTTATTCAATCTCAAGAACTTACTTTGCAAAGCTAGGAGAGAATACCAGCCTGTACAAAATTCAGCGTATTTATACACAGATTTTCCCGCCTATTTTTGTAGGACAGTCCTCTTTGAGCTGTTTACGCAAGTATGCAAAATCATTTTCTCTTGCTTACTATAGAATAGATAGCAATAACGAAATTTTAAAGCATGTAAAATTTACAGAAGTAGATATGGATTATTTAAGTATAATTTACTTATCGCAAAAGGTTTTTTCAGAGGTTATTAACTAATAAAGTTAGTTAATATAATAGTGCAATATTTAC